GCCCCACATCAAAGTTAGAAATGTCAGCGCGAATAATGATTGGGTCATCGTGGGGGAGGATAACACCGCGCTCTTCCTCCTCACAGAAGGTAATGGGAGCCCAGCCTGATTTATGGGTCTTCGGCAAGCGGCCTTGCTCAGCGCTAAAGACCTAGTGCGCATAGGTGGAGCGGACATAATGTTTGATAGAGTTGTTGGAGGTTCCAGCCAGGGTGGGACCACCACTGATAGTTGAGATCATGTTGATCTGTCGTTGGTGAGGGTTAGGTGGGGGTGGGAGATTGTGCACATATTTATCCAATTTCCCATCGCGAATAAGTCCTTCGATGATGTTGCGCAAAGCAACACAAGATTCGGTGTCATGTCAACCGAACTGATGGAAGCGACAGAAGACACCCGTGTTGGGCATGGGCTTGCTGCCCGGTCTCCGGGGGGGAGGCTTGGGTATGATAGGTGCCTCGTGCACCAGGACATTTTCGTAGGTGGTGTTCAAGGTGGTGAAGACCTCGAATCTAGGCTTGGGTGAGAAGGGGAGTGGAGCCCGATCGCCTGCCCTGTGCGGGTCGACCCCGCTGGACTGGTGGTGGTTATGTCTACCCCGTTTGTTATTGTTAAAGCTATGCTGGTAGTTATCCTTCCGCTTGGGGTGCTGGGTACCCTGGGTACTTGGGGCGGGAGTAGAATGTTGAGGCGGGGCTGAGGTAGGTGCTGAAGCAGGTGGGGGATCAGCGAAAGGATGATGTGCCGGGGTGGCCGGGCCACGCTTGGAGTTGAAATACTCAGCCTTGGCATGCACTGCTGCCTGCTTCATTAATTCAGCATACGTGTTCCAAGGGTTGCTGTGGACAAGGTACCGAAAGTTAGACTCTCGGAGGCCACTCTTGAAAGCACCAAAGGCGGCACGATCATCGGTCTCTGGGCAGCGGGAGTACTCGTGGCTGAACCTGGCTGCATACTCTCGAAGGGGCTCATCCTCACCCTGCCGAAGCATGTACACGTTGCCAGCGTAGTACAAGCGGTCAGTTTGGATCATGAAATGGTCCAAGAAGGCCTGCTTCAGACTGTCAAATGAGTTGATGGTGTGGGGGTTCAGCCTGTAGAACCACTTCAGGGCCGCGCCACTGAGGGTGGAAGGGAAGATGAGGCACATGCCTTCGTCAGTGAGGCCCTTGCACCCTAGGGGCGACT